TACGAAATAATTCATCGCGAGCGCATGCGGCATTATCAAATTATCTGCTCGTTTCATTCGTAATTGCGCACGCGGAGTGGATTACTTTATGAGATTAATTTTATGAAAGGCGATATTCTCGAATTTAACGCGTCATAAACAACAAATGCTCGCTGTTTTTTCCAACTAATGTCATGTTATCTATATTTGCATATCAGTTTACGCACGAAAGAGTCAATCTTATTTGCCAACAAAATCTATAAGTAAATGAAATTCATTTGTTGAATTAATGTGACAAAAAAATTGCACTTATCATTAGACTAACCAAATTCATTCAGTTGAATTTTATTCACACAGTCGCAACTCCGTGTTCAATGCCTGTGTCATCGTTAAGGAAGCTTAATTCAAATCTGTTTAAGGGTGGAAACTCGGAGCTTGAATTTATGTCTTCTTAATCGAAAAAAGAAACTTTTCAAAATGCTCACGAGATATGCGAATCTCACTATCAGTTTCGCTTTAATGATCATTGCCGAGCATCGTCAGATCATTTCGTCAAACTCTGTATTCAGTTTGCGCTCGAAATGTTTTACGTCAGCGAAAAGAATTCAATCAGTTGAGGGTTTCAATCAAGTTTCTTGTCAATTATCGGGGATACGACGGTGGCGTGAACATAATATAGAGTAGTTAGTGAAGCGATTAACCGATTATCTTCAAGATGGTTTCACACCAATTTTATCAATTATGTGCTCGTATACGAGTGCTACTTTAAATATTTTATTACTTACTACATCGTTTCATCAAACAGACGGGTGTATAGGATTCAGTACGCAAAAAAAGATTCATTCTCCAGCTGTTTCACACTTTCCCGGAACTCGTTAGCATTTGGAGAGCGTTTCGATTATGTTTCGAAAAATGTTTCTGGCCGAGATAATTATGAACGGCCGTCGAGATTTATTGAAAACAAATTGCGTTAGAATGTACATTGGACGATTTCATCATTTATTGTATATCAATGAACGACAAACGCATTTTATGGCTTCGTTTTTTTGCGTTTTAGCTTTTTTGCGAAAACTTTCGCAGCAATAATAAAAGTACAGATGGCTGATTAGTATATTCATATTGATATACGTGTGTGTTTTATTGTCATTTAGCAAGAGCAAAAGGAATACTTTATGAAACTGCGTTTAATGGCCTTTAATGCGATATCCTATTATTCAGAAATGATGCCGTGAATCGTTAACGAATTGCTTTGCTTTGTTTAGAACACTCGATTCGCTCGTCTCTTCTCAAACAATCCAACAACTGTGTTCGATCGAGCTGAATTCTTATAGAATATTCATTAACGTGTGATGATTTGTTTCAGTCGCCTTCTCCAAGAAGAACTTTTTATCTGTCTAGTGCATGAGAAACTTGATGAGATTTTGCGATAAGTAACTGACGCTCACTCACCACTACTGACTGATGATGTTCAATGTAAGGCAACATTGAAAAACGGAAGAAAGGCATCTGATAAGTTGAATGGTGAGCCATTTGAAGGCTAATTATGACTGGTGGTCGCGACGCAGACGAGATTCTGCAGGCAAAGAATCGCTCGAAAGCATGGCAATTACTAATTCGTGCATGTTGACAACAATAAAGTTCTGTTTGTGTTGCCGTACTGCAACCACCAGCGATCATCCCTACGAGAAAGGCGTTAATGTCAACATCAAACACATGTTTCGAATTGTTGTCACAATGAGCAATCAACTCGAAGAGTCGAGAGGCAATTTTTGGAGTTTGCTGAATTGATGCAATTGTATATTCCTACAAATTCAAATACTTCAACAGTTCAAAACCCCACATAATTTTGTGACTGTTTTTGATGTGGTGAACAAAAAAATTTCAATTTATGTTTTGTTGTTTCATCAGCTGCATTCATTCGTTCGTTCATCCACACATCCACTGTTTACTGTAAGTGGCTGCTGACATTCACTTCAGAGCTTCTCTTCAATCACTTCGATTAACTCTCTGAGTAATAATAATAACAACAACAATAACAACAGCGACGTTCTTGACGCAACAACACAGAAATCCTTTCTTTTGTTTCCGTATTTTCAGTGATTTGATGATTCTTTTACCATATTGTTCGTCGATTGTTCATCGCTAAGTTTTCGTTTTATTCAGATATTAGCTTTGGGATTTCGGTTTGTTTGCGTCACATTAAGCATTACTTTCTATTGAAATCAACTTCAGTGCATGGCGCTTCACATGATCACGCACTGCTTGAGATACCACCAACTAACGTCATTATTACGACCAGCATCCTATTCAGTCCCTTTGTTGTTTGCAATTAGCTCGATAATTTATGACACGACTAGTTCCATAATTTATGAGTTGGGCTGATGTCACTGTTTTCCACTTTTCTCAGTCTCCTTCCACTTTTTTTCTTCAGCTCTATATCGTGATAGTTTTGTTGCTCTTATCTAGGAATTTACCGTGCCATAACTGATTTTTGCATAGGTCAATCCAGTTCAGTGATCATCAGATAACAGATTCGCAATCAACCGAAAATAGCTCGATCGAAAATTGTCGAACCATGGTATTGTTACGTGTACACGTGCATAGACCAATGCAATACGACAGCTTACTCGAAAATATTCAAAAAAATTTGTTGTCATACAACCGAATCGTTTGATTTACGGCTCATTTTGATGCAAATACAAAAATGAATTTGATAGATTCTTGCAAAATGATGAATTTTCAGTTTGACAAGAAGAAAAATTGAATCGCTCGTCAGAGGACAGACAGTATTCAGCGGATGTAATTAGAATGTATGAATAAACTGGCGAAGAGTATCATCGATCTGAATAGGTCACGGTGCCGCAGCACGATTTCTAAAGAAGAAGAAAAAGAAGAAGCAGCAACAATAAACTGCAAGAAACAACAACTGAGTGGCGAAGAGAAACTCAACTAAACAGCTGCATGATTGACTGAATCAGGAAATATCTCGTTGTGAAAAGACGAAAGCCTAGCAAACTATATAGCCTATCAAATCCCACATTCAACAAATAGAGATCCATTCATTCGTCCTTCCCACAGCCGCCGCATCCATAAGCACCACAGACAACATCCGACAACAACTCGCAATTGCTGCTGCTGCTGATGCTAAAGATTCTGAACGATTGATTCATTATTCACTTCGCCAATACTCGGTGTGCAGCCATCACTTTTGTGCAACTTCTCTTACAGTCAACTCGAGAAACTCCTACTCCTCATCGTGCTGAAAACCGTTCTGGTATTCCCCTGATTCGTGGCAATTGAAATTAGATTGCATTTTTTCAAACTGTTACTCGCATCCAGCCATCATCATTATTCATTAGCTAACAGTTCACTGATTCATTAATCATCCGATAACGCTCCTCATTACTGTGGAATGAACGAAACATTGGAAATCGGCAATGACCCCGATGATGATATTATACGACTTGGCGTCACACATAAGGTTTGTTCTCTTCATTCTTTGACGATAACATTTGCGATGCCGACATGTGCTGTGCTGATAATAGAAGTAAGGTAGTTGATTTTCATTGAAACTGACTTCAACATTGGTTCGTGTATGACGACTAGAATGAGGAAAATTTGTTGATGTGTAAGAATGCTCATTGCAGTAATTGTTTGTCGAATTCCCTGGATAAAGTCAATGCAAATAGCTTTGCGGTAACTGAGTTAAGAAAAGATGAGAAACTTGCCTTTCGAACCAATGTTAAGATTTATATCACATTAATGTAATCCCTTCGGATTACTTTTGTCGTTCACACGTCTCACCATTCCAATGATGTTGATTAGGTAGATTGCAAGCGGAGATTCTGCATGATGTTTCAAAATTATGCTTTTTTGGTGTTCAGTTCATTGACTGAAAATTGAAACTCTACTTACACATTCTATGGAGCCCTGAAAACCCAAATGTATCAGTTACGCGTACACATTGATGATCTGTTTTTCTTGGTTGTACTGATAATTTGATGAAATTTTCAAACGATCACTGAATCCAATCACTGTTTTTAGTGTGCGGATTCTACTTGCAGTCTATTGAAAGTTACCAAAGCGTGAAATGTTAACTTTAATATAATTTGACAACACATTCAATTCCCCAAACAACGTTGTCAATCATTCATTGTTGCTCCTCAGCAAGCGAAATGTGAATAGTGCAAATGCTTGGTGACGGAACTTCATCCTTCCGGGTGCATTTGTCGTTGCTGAAAGCAAACAACTTTAGCATTGATATGCGTATCGTTATGATCTTGATGCATCATGAAACTTTTTCGAGATCGTTTTATTGACAAACGCATATGGGATTTGTGTTAACTGGAGTTTTTTTAAACATTATCCCGAGCAACATTCGCTGTTCACTAATGTATTGCACATTACTTTAATGTTTGTGTAACCTTTGGTTAGCCTATTC